GGGAAACGACTGTAGAGGTATATTTGAAATAATGAAAAATCTAGGTCAGTACAGTTTACTTCAACCTCCGAGGCATCGTTTGATATTGTGTCCTTTATATGACAAAATAAATATCAGATATGGATACATCAGTTTTGGTTGAGCATTAAATGCGGGATGGGTATAAATATGTTTTGCGAGTCATTACATGCACTCATATACATGTGTAAAGCCATAATGCCGCCGTTCCGTGCTAAAAAGGTATATACGCCAAATCATCCGAATATTACCAACTCTTGAAAACTAATGGTCTTAAACATCTATGAGTTTCATTAAAACTAGATAATATTGACGTCTCTTCAGTTTATGAATACAAAATATTTCTCTCTCGAAGTGAGAAACCCAGTCATTATTCCCATTAGTAAGAATTAATCCGATATTTGATCGGCAATATCCGTGGGTCAACTGATTTCAGTCGAAAGCTTGAACACAAAATTTGACATAAGAAACCAAAACCGCGCTATGATGGATACAGTACGTGATCCTTATATGATACTTTATTCTCGTGATGCCGTAATCGGCCTAGCAAGTGCAAGTATTTTCTTCAAAGAAATAACAGAAGAAAACTATTTTATGCAAGTTCGTTTCGTATGCTTCCTAATTCATATGGAAATCCGCAACATCTGGTGTTGTGTACAGCCCATGTTCGCCATCTCAAAGTATTCTATCGCTACAGAAGATCACCAATATTTATCAGAGCCTAATTTCCATTTAATGCATAAGCGGTCTTCTCAGATTTGCCTAAAAATGGGTCTTCTTTTCTTCATTCTCTCTTGAATCGATTTGTCTGCCATGTGTGAATGTTGCTCATTTTTAAGATTAGTCACATCACTACTTTTGCAGCACTCCCGAAAAAGACCTTAGTTGTGGGTGACTTCATTGATTGAATTAAGAGGTGGAATCTCTTAATTCTAAAATGAATATTTGAAAATTCATTACACGTAACATCTCGATAATTTCAAAGAACGGTTAATTTCAGATAGTTTTATTAACAAATCATTTTCTTCCATCCAAAACGTTAGTTAGATTTGAACAATGTTGAAATTTATGAAAAAAACGACGGCTTTAGAGCTTTAACCAAATCTGACAAAAATACGCAGCAGATTGAAGAGCAGATGCGTTTTAAGAAATCTCCCATGATTCCTTGCAGTTTGAGTGAATAAAATGACTGAGATATCATATTTCCTTCTCTGCAATAATGATTGCTTTTTGGGGGATTAAAGTTTGCAATATAGTTGCACAGTTTTAATCAGCAAACATAAGCAATGCGATGTAGAGTATGCTTTGTGTTTTGAGTTTTGTTTGTGGTGCTTCAAGACATTATCTGGTGCATAACTGACAACTTACTAATAGAAAATCCTTTGACTGAGAAGGAGTGGTTATTTTCGCTTCATGTAGGAAAAGAAGTTGGATGTTTTGCTGAGACAAAAGTGTTGACCCGGGTCAACAGATGTCTTAAAATGACTTCAGCACGTTGTATCCGATTTATCACTATTCATTTGAATAACTAGATCTGGTTAAGCAGTCCTTGGTCGACATGCATTTACAAACATGTGCAATTCATCCACCGCAGAAAGTTACATATGTATTGTTGTGAGTGGTGGGTATATCTGGCGGCCCGATGAGTGTCATTGACGCGCCAGAGGATAATTAGAAAAACGCTATGAAATTTGCGAGTGAAAAGGTTATATTTTAAAATAATTCAATATCACAAATTTAAGGCTGATTTTAGTGAAAACCAGCTTGCTAAAATAAAGCGCTCAATGATGAATGATTATGGACTCACATTGAATCTTTTTCCTGAGTAATGTAACTGGCAATTTCCCCGTATGGCTAACCCAAATGCAACTTAATCATCGGCCAAATAAAAAGACACCCCAGTGACATTAAAGTTATCGATGACAGAGGAGACACAAATGCGAAAGACCGACGCCATATTTCCATTTCTCGCAGCAATTCATGGGTTGTTGGCGGATGCTACTCCCGAAGTTGCAAATGCAGCTGTGTTGGTGGTACTCAGAACTTCTCCAAAGAGAGCTCTGAAAAATGCGGTTGATGGACGTTTAACGTTTCGTAGATGAATAAAAGGAAAAGAGCACTCGGTTCCAAAATACTCGAAAGGAAGTGATCTTCGATTGTAGAATTGTCACAGACGGCTGTAGTATGCATGTTGACATAATTTGAATTGCTCGTAAAGATAAAGTCAGTCGAACATTTCGAATGCCTTTATGCGATGATTTCCTGCAAGTGGGAAACTGGAGTCTTTAACCTGGATTCTGCAAAAGGATTTGGAAAGTGTTGGGTTGCAACGAAATCTTTTTTTCTTTGACTCACAGTCACATGAAGTTGATTATTTAAAACGCGGTATCAGTTCTAAAAATAAAAAAATCTCGACTATTCTTTTATTTAACTGTACCGTTAAAAACTCTGATGAATGACACAATTTGCGGCCAAAGTCATTTTTTTTTTGAATATATGAGCAGAGTTTTTGTTGTTGACATAAACCTGGCCGGGCGAATTTTCTGAATTTCCCAGATCAAATTATAAACCATCAGCGGGGTTGATCTCACTGATAACTAGAGACTCTGAGGCTCTACAATATCGGTGACAGTCTTCAAAAATGACATCCATATTTTTGAGGCTGTAATGATCCATAAAAATGCAAACTCCATTGAGGTACGCTGACCATGATGCATAACAATTTATGGAGCAAGATTACACGAATGTCAAACACAAAAACATAGGAAAACACCGATGGTTTTAGCAAACGGTTGACTTGTTTTGATAGCCTTAAATCTCACATCTTAAAGATGCGCATTTCCTTATCGTATGTATTCATCTTAACTTGATTTAGTGGTGGATGGAGTGCAATATAATACTGTTAAATAATCACCAGAATAATGGCAGATTGCTAAACTTATATCCTGTGTACGTTATGGAACCTACTACATATGCAGCATCGATATCATTAGTGGCTAGAGATGAAATTTTGTTCGACTGAAGAATCAACGCCAACTTGACAGTGTATTAAACTTTCTTTAGTGATGGTGTTTAAGATTTACCATTACATATTTAAAGATGCTTGTAATGACATTTAGCAGCCAGAATTGGACCTGTCTCAATGGATTTGGTAGATGCAATTGTGATGAGAGAACGAAGAACAGAGTCATCCTTCCCCTGCTCTACTCTGTGACCTTTACTGGCTACCCGTTCATTCCAAAATCTGTTCACTATGCTAAATTTCGTTGACTGGCTCAAATCCACTAAACCCAGCTGACATCACATGTATACAGATACTTAAACACCTTTTCTAATATGCAATTTCTCTTCTTGTTTCCTTCTGCTAAAACTAAGTGGTAAAATAGTTTGGTTACGTTTACGTTCACGAACACGTATTTCATTGTCACGATCGTTTCACAGTTTTGCCAAGCCGTTTTCTGTGGTTACTCAAAATGGTTCTATTCGAATTGGGAGACCACCAAAGTATCTGCGAACAGATAAGAAACCGGGGCATTAGTGATCTGAAGCAGGTAAATTATTTTCTTTCAGTGCAGATCAATCAATTATTTGCATGTATTACTATCTGTTTCCGAGCCTGCATCACTCAATCTCGTAGCTCACGACAAACTACCACGCGGACTCAAGTGAACTAGAATTACAGACACACACATCTGAGAAAATCTTTCACGGGGTAAAGGTCATGCGGAATACAGATGAAGATTCTGGCCTGGGTACGAAAACTGATAAGACGGTCTCATATGCCCAATACCACACTACGCCATTAGTCTGATCTTGTTTTTAATCGGTTTTATGCGTTTGTATTGACTGCAGACACAACACAGTGGTAACAAAACAATTACTTACTGATCGTGTTTTGCAATAAGACTCGGGTTCCAAGAGACCCAGTCTTAGGCGTACTAATTTACATGTTAACCCCATTTAATACAGAATGTGTCATGAAATATGCTTTTTAAAATTGTTGTATTGAATTCTAATTAAAGCTGTCAATAACATACCAATAAATCAGGTCTATATACATTGAAGTCAACTCTACAAAACGTTATCTATATGTGTGACATGTAGTTAGAGGCAGAATCCGATGAAAGAAGTCATTACTGTCATATCATGTAGTTAGATGCATAATCTGATAAACGAAGCCATTAATGTCATATATTAATTGCATAATTCATCAACCGTTGAAAACAGAGAGTTTGAATTTTAGTCACATTATGTTTAACCCTGATAAGTCGGTACAAAGTGCATCTCGATTTGATCCTTTTTATTTACAAATGTCTTGGATCTAAGGAGACCAATTTTTCCTGCGTCAAAATTGCTCCCTATTAAGTTGGGTTGCCTCTTCTGGCTTTGTTGTTAAACTGTTATCGGAACATACAGCAGTCTACCAATCTAAACAAATAAATGTCACAATGTTAACCACCAGCTTGCCATCTAGTACAAAACAGTATACAATGAAAAAAGTCATTACTTGGGGTTGCTACTACTGTTTTAAACTGATCTAAACTAAAATATCCATCATTAGACGCATTGACATTAAGCACAAAAAAAGAAAATAATGGTAAAAAAAGCAATTACCAACACTTATCATTTTATCTAAGAAAGCTGCGGTCCAATAAACTTGGGGTATTATTTTATTTCTGATCACGATTTGATCTAGAATATGTCACAAAAATGAATACTGTTTTAAAATGAGGGATGTGATGCGTTGTGAGTATGATTTTAACATAGCTTTAACAATTTTTCAGTCATATCTCTACGATGTCTGCAGTGTGGCAGTTTATATAGTGATGTCTAGCACTGAGGCATCATGCCACAGACATGTAGCATGATGTCCCACCCAGTCACATTATCCTGAATCCAGGCCGACCAGTCTTAACACGAACATCTTAATGCTGAGCGTCAAGCGAGGCAACTATTAGCACCACATTTGTAAGTTTTTGGTATGACTCGACCGGGGATCGAACCCACGACCTCCCGCATTCGAGGTGGACGCTTTAGCTACTAGGCCACCGAAGCGGTTTATAAAGGGTTGTATTTAGTTCTAATTAAAACTGACAACAATCAGACCAAATAAAGCAGATATTACTTATTAAAGTATACTCATCGAACATTCTTTGTGAGTTTTTCATCTAGTTTAAAGCAGTATCAGATGAAAGAAGTCATTAACATTGGCATGTTATTACTCAGCTTTACAATTGTTGCAAGTTTAAAAATCCAGATGTACACTGAACGCTAGCAGCTAATGATGGCAAGAAAAGTAATTACTGATTCTGATCCTGTCACTCCAAGAGATAAAATCATTGACATACTTTTTATCTCTGACCCCGATTTGATGTTGAATCATAATATCTTTAAAGGGCTGTATTAAATTATAACTCGTTATTCATCATTCATTGTTTTCAAGGCATTAATCAGTAATTTCATGTGCACTATCATTTATTATTGAATTCAATTGCAACATTTTTGCTTTTCTGTTGAACATGCACTAGCGTGTTGGATTTAATGTATATTTACCCTGTGTGCGTTTTCTTATGCTTGATGTACAGGTAAACCGAATCGGTTCATAGCATGTTTATTTAAATATCCTTGTTTGGTGCCATATCTCTTTCTCTCTCTCTCTCTCTCTCTCTCTCTCTCTCTCTCTCTCTCTCTCTCTCTCTCTCTCTCTCTCAGTATGTATTTGATATTTTTCAAAGATATTTTCTTGCAAGTCCTTGACATTCCTTGTAATAAAAAAGCCAGTGCACTCTAATCAAATCATTATCGCTTGCCATCCCAGACGAATCTAGAAGGTTTCACACGATACCACGCATTTATGTCTTCATTTAATTAGACATAACTTTACATCAATATCTGATACGTGATGAGTTGTTCAATCCTATACCAAACGCCAATTTTTTTATAACCATAAGTAAATATAAAGTTTTTATCTAACTTGCAATAAGTACTTTGCACTAGAATGCCCCAATGAGATCTGATGTCAACATCTTTATTCTCACCGATGCCACAGAGAAATCTAGCTGTTTTGCTAACCTTAATTTTCTTATCTCAATCTAGCCATCTCAGACTAGTCGTCTCAGTCAAGGTGTCCACGCGCTCAGAACTACGTGTAAAAAAAGAAAACCTTGTTGTCTTCTGCTACGCTTGACGTAGTTGTTCTAAAAATAACCAACAAAAACAAATATATAACAAAAATATAGGAACGTAATGTCAATCCATTTTTGAGAGCACATCATATAAAGCATTTTGAGAGAGACAAAGACACACGGACACGGTGTCGAGCTTTCTTGGTATTATGATTGTTCGTTCCACACAGTATGGTCAATTGTAACCTATACGCAGGTCTAGCTCTGTACATTTTCAGGTCAGACTCATTTAAGCTAAAGCTTCCTAACTAGTTTCAAAAACTTTGTATAAAACAAATTATATACTATTAGCTACATTTAATGACGTTGACCTGAAAATTGACTGTACTAAAGATATGATAAAATTATCATTGCTACGTGAAATGAACTGACATAAAACAATCATCTGTGCACATAGACTATAAACCTATATATTTCATAACCTGATAACTCCATTAACAACTTCACAAAACTTATTAACTGCCTTACACATGTTATATTTATTCTAATTTTGTAAGGCATTTCCATTGTGCACCAGTTGAATAAAAGAATACCTACAATACCTAATGACAAATAATGCACTTACCAGTTAGAAGGAATAATTTATCAGTCAACACAATAATCCATAAGAAAAATTAACTGTAGCACCTGACATATTTCCAAGATAGAAAAATAAATTTTCAAGGAATTCGTGAATTTGATAGTTTAGCACATGATTATCATCTAGAGACCGTATTTGGATGGTATTTTATACACAAGGGTAATTTTACAATTAATGTTAAGGACAACACATGTATGTAAAAGACAGTTTCACCTTCTCTAAAGGAAATGAGATTTCTATACGATATTGACAAAGATCTCTAATTAGCTATGAATAATCTAATCCAACATGTTACACTACATTACAGCTTGTACTAAGTATACTTACAGTAGAGCTGAGTGCACAGTATCGTTTCATTATTTACAATATAACTTTCGAAAATTAAAACTGATGAAAATGAAAGTGATTCTTGTAACAAATATTGATTAATTTTAATTTCACATAACATCCATATATTAAGTGTGATAATACCTTATTACTATGCGACGTTCCATGTTGTTACTTTTCTTTGCTCACGCGTATAAACTGCGTACTTCAGATGCAATGGTCACAAAACAGTCCTCATAAGCCGTTTGTAACCATCTGCACTTTAACTATATTACAATAATAAAGATTTCGTTTTACGTTAAAGAAAAATGTTGGGTTTTGGACAGAGAGAAGGTGGGGTTACATTATATGTCTCCCCACTCGTTAATCTCGCGGGGAAACAAATAATGTAACTCCAAGACTGAGATTTCCCTGTCCAAGTTCATTCCAAAACACACACACACACACACACACACATATATATATATATATATATATATATATATATATATATATATATATATATATATATATATATATATATATATATATATATATGCAATAAACTGACGACGAACAGTACGAAACTAGTAACTAACTAACTAGCCTAAGCGCTTTCGACTCTTAATGAGTCTTTTTCAAAGGCAAATACAAAACATATATACGACAAACAAATAAACACAAAAACGTTGTGTTTGTAAACCTCTACATGGCTGTCTCCACATGTGTTAAAACTATAAATACAACCAGCTTGTATAGACTAGTTGCGGAAACTGAAAACGGTGTATAATTCCCTAAAAGTTTACAAGACAAAGCGACATCTATTTTTACTTTTGTAATCTGCATTACATAAATGTACACGTGATGAGAAAATAAGTTGTGTGAGCTGATCAGACAGCTCTAAAAGTGACAATAGGTGATAAGGAAATGAGGTGTGAGCTTAACAATTAGCGCTCAAAATTACAGTGAGTGATAATGAAATGAGGTTGTGTAAGCTTAAGAAACTGCACTCAAAGTTACAGTAGGTGATAATGAAATGAGGTTGTGTGAGCTTAACAAACAGCACTCAAAGTTACAGTGGGTGATAATGACATGAGGTTGTGTAAGCTTAACAAACAGCATTCAAAGTTACGGTGGGTGATAATGAAATGAGGTTGTGTAAGCTTAACAAACTGCACTCAAAGTTAAAGTAGGTGATAATGAAATGAGGTTGTGTGAGCTTAAAAAACAGCATTCAAAGTTGCAGTGGGTGATAATGAAATGAGGTTGTGTAAGCTTAACAATTAGCACCCAAAATTACAGTGGGTGATAATGAAATTAGATTGTGTAAGCTTAACAAACAGCACTCAAAGTTACAGTGTGTGATAATCAAATGAGGTTGTGTGAGCTTAACAATTAGCGCTCAAAATTACAGTGGGTGATAATGAAATTAGATTGTGTAAGCTTAACAAACAGCACTCAAAGTTACAGTGGGTGATAATGAAAAGAGGTTGTGTAAGCTTAACAAACTGCACTCAAAGTTACAGTAGGTGATAATGAAATGAGGTTGGGTGAGCTTAACAAACAGCACTCAAAGTTACAGTGGGTGATAATGAAATGAGGTTGTGTAAGCTTAACAAACTGCACTCAAAGTTACAGTAGGTGATAATGAAATGAGGTTGTGTGAGCTTAACAAACAGCACTCAAAGTTATAGTAGGTGATAATGAAATGAGGTTGTGTTTTGTAAGCTTAACAAATAGCACTCAAAGTTACAGTGGGTGATAATGAAATGAGGTTGTGTGAGCTTAACAAACTGCACTCAAAGTTACAGTAGGTGATAATAAAATGAGGTTGTGTGAGCTTAACAAACAGCACTCAAAGTTACAGTAGGTGATAATGAAATGAGGTTGTGTTGTGTAAGCTTAACAAACAGCACTCAAAGTTACAGTATTTGATAATGAAATGAGGTTGTGTGAACTTAACAAACTGCACTCAAAAGTTACGGTAGGTGATAATGAAATGAGGTTGTGTGAGCTTAACAAACTGCACTCAAAGTTACAGTATTTGATAATGAAATGAGGTTGTGTGAGCTTAACAATCAGTCCTACAAGTGGCTACAAGTGATAAAAAATAAGTTATGTGAGCTTAACAGACATCCCTCCAAGTAACACAAGGTGATAATGATATGAGGTTATAAGAGCTTTAGGTGGTAGCCTTCCGAATGACCACAGATAATGAGAAAGATAAGTCTTCCAAGAAAATATAGCCTAATAAACTCTTATTTAAATATAACCAAATAAACTCTTATCTGAATATGACCTGATAAACTCATATTTGAACATTACCTAATAAACTCAGATTTGAATGTAACATAACAAGCCCTTATGTGAATATAACGTAATAACTCTTATTTAAATTTAACCTAACAAACTCTTGTTTGAACATGACCTAATAACTCATTTGAATATAACCCAATAAACTTTTATTATATATAATCTAATAATAATAATAATAAACTCATATTTAAATATTACCTAATAAACCCATATTTGAATATAACATAATTAGCCCTAATTTGAATATAACCTAATAAACTCTTATTTAAATATAACCTAATAACTTTTATTTAAATATAACCTAATATATTTGTATTTAAATGTAACCTAATAAAATTGTTTTCATATATAACCTTATAAACTATTATTTCCACTGTCAGTAGAGCAATTTGTGGCTCAAAGCTTAGATGGATGGATTTTATCACTTTACGGACACGAAGGAATGCTGTCTATATACCATATAAGATTAATTTTTAGACAGGAAAAGTTCAGATTGGACCTGCTTGCAGAACATTTATACAGTACTATAGGTTAAATTACAGATAAAACATTTAAACAGGATGATAGGTTACCTAAATTACAGGTTGAACATTTATACACTACAATATTATAATCCAGTAGGCCTATATTGCCTAAGTCTGGAAATAATAGAAAACCACGTATTGCATAAACAATATGCACGAAAAATTATCTTAAACTAGTTATTTAAGTTTATGTTAGATAAGCAGGCCTTTGCGACTGACTCTGAATAGAACCCTTTATCAATGGGACTACCCATAAGTGCAATATAGTGCTACGAACAAGGATACAAATGTTTGTATTTGGATTTAAAAGTCACCTGAGTATACAAAAGGTTATTTGTTGCCGATTAACAGTTTAATTATTTAAAAAACGTAAATAGGAAGATATGCCTTAACAAAATATCCTTAAACATGAAATAGTTTAAAGTTGTGTTCTACTTCATGGGAATTGGATCAGCACTTGTTCAATCCTGAACTTGAAACAAACATAGCCATAATATGCTCTTGTTTGAACACCCATTTTAACTGTCACAATTTCACACCCACTTTAGCTGTTACAATTTTAGACGCACAGAAACTGTTAAAATTTCACATAAACTTTAACTATTACAAATTCACACCCACTTTAACTGTTTCAATTTCACATTGACCGATCCGGTGCCCTAGTGGTTTGTGCTTCCGCCTCTGATGCGAGAGGACATGGGTTCGATCCTTGTCCGAGTCATACCAAAGAATTACAAAAATGGTACTAAGAGCTACCGCGCTTGGCGCTGGTTAATGTAAGGACTGGTAGGCCTGATGTCAGGATAATGTGAATGGGTATGGCAACATGATAAATGTCTGCGGCATGTTGCCCCAGTGCTAGATATCACTATAAACTGCCACACTGCAGACGTGGTAGCGATATGACTGAAACATTGTTAAAGCTACGTTAAAAATCCAAAACACACATTACATACAATTTCACATCCACTTTAACTGTTACAATTTCACCCCCACCGCCATTTTTAACTGTAACAATTTCAAATCCATATAAACTGTTACAAATTCATACTCACCTTAATTGCTACATTTTCACATCCACTATAACTGTTACAATTTCATACCCACTTTAACTGTTACAATTTCACATCCACTTTTGAGGGGCCCCGAATGGCCGAGTTGTCTAAAACGCTGACCGTTACGGTTCACTGCCATCTCACCTCTGTCTGCGTGAGTTCGGCTAACGTGGATAAGTGAGAAAGCCTGCCAGTAGCTTCTCGTGGGTCAGTGGTTCTTCCCTGGATTTTCCAGGGTTCTTCCTTCACCATTAATACTGGCCGCCATGTATAGCCTATCTTGTGCTGAAAAATGGCGTTAAACCCTACAACAACAACATCCACTTTGACTGTTACAATTTCACACCCATCGTAGCTATTACAATCTCAGTCACGTTCAAATATAATGCAATTTGATTGTATTTTTTGCCGACAGTCTTGATGGACACATGATAAAGATATGTATTGACGTTCAGTAGACTGAATTTAGATATACTCAGCAAAATCACTTTTATGAAAACTACCTGAACAACAGTACTGGCAAAGGACACAGCAATAATCCCGGAAATTGAGACGTCCACTGGCGTAATCAGCTGTCTAATACGCTTGGATGGATCATATTTCCAGTCTGCATCCTGATCGTGCTGACGTGAGTCTTATAAAGGAACGGACGTACATTAGCTACGTCAGACACCAAATCTCATTTCCGAGATTATGTGTTTGCTATTTCGAACTACTGCTGCAAATCAGGCAAATTTTAACGTTGTAAAAGAATAGTGCTTATTTTCTATCTCATTTCCACACTTTGTCACTCTATAAATAACCCTCCAAAAAAGAGTAAATATCAACAATTTAAAAAAGTCTTATATAAAATATAAAACAAAATAAGATTATAATTAATATAATAATACTGAGCGAACAAACTATTACCTTATAAAACAAGAGAACAGACAGTAGTCAAAGAAGTGAAAGAAGGACTGGTTGAATCAAAGAACAACGGACTCAAAGGTGTAAACTAACATTTGTAATCGTAATCAATCAGTTATTAAATATATCGTATTTCTATTAGTTTTTTCTACGGGAATAAATATATATTATTTATAATTTTATTAGAATCTATGTCATCATTACATTTATTCTTTTATTCTACGTAAAGTCGTTAATTTTAATATATACCACCATAACATATGATGAGTTTTAATGACGGTTCTTATATAAAGCCATTCATGACATAACTTGTATAAAGCCATTCATGACATAACTTGCATAAAACCATTCATGACATAACTTGTATAAAACCATTCATGACATAACTTGTATAAAACCATTCATGATATAACTTGTATAAAACCATTCATGACATAACTTGTATAAAACCATTCATGACATAACTTGTATAAAACCATTCATGACATAACTGGTATAAAACCATTCACGACAAAACTGGCATAAAAAATTCATGACATAACTGGTATAAAGCCATTCATAACATAACTTGTATAAGACCATTCATGACATAACTTGTATAAAGCCAATCATGACATAACTGGTATAAAATCATTCATGACATAACTTATATAAAACCGTTCGTGACAAAACTATTATCTACAGAAAACCATGGTATCAGAATACATTGTGAATGTTTCAAAAACTAGTCCAGGCAAATATAAAGGTTTCAAGATTTTTATTCTAATTTTCATCGCTTTGTGTTTTGTTTTCCTGTATGAAGTGCTCTCCATAGAAATACCATTATGCATAATAATAAATGTCATTAGGATTGCTTGTTTTTTATCATCTCTCTCTCTCTCTCTCTCTCTCTCTCTCTCTCTCTCTCTCTCTCATATAGCTATAACAAGGACATAGCTTAGTGCTTTAGCTGTGACAAAGATGTAACTTTAGAGGATGGTTCAATTCAGATTTAATATTGAATTTATGAAAAGAGTTGAACAATGTCCAGCTTTGGCTGGCAAAAGGTGGATATTATTCAGCGAGTTTCATAAATTTAATATTCAATTATTACCCATTTGAGATTATGTTTATCACATATTTTTTATTTTAATGAAAATAGGAGCGACAGAAAAAGAAATAGTTTAATTCAGACTAAGATGTTGCACCTTTCATTTAATGCGCGTAAAAATAGTCTCTGGAATTTTTAACTGTTCTATAATTAGATAAATTTAGTAGTTTCATTTTTTTTGCCAATTATGATTCAAATAGAAACTTTCCTTCTGAATTAATATAATATTTGACTCAAGCAACATAATAATTTTAATTTCAGAATGCTTATGCAAGTGCATTTTTAAGACACGTAGTGTTAGTTTAGTTAGAGAAATGTTTAACAGCGAGAGTGTCATTATTAGTCCCACATTTATGCATTCCAATATATATATATATATATATATATATATATATATATATATATATATATATATATATATATATATATATATATATATATATATATTAAGAGAATATTATGGATGCAGAAATTCTAGATTTAAAGGAATGCATTTGTAACCGGACATTTGCATTATTCGATTAGGAACAGTAGACTTTATAACAGAAACAAACAAATTTGGAATTACGTCATATAATGACAGCAGTTTGACGGCGTAAGCATTTTGTGGTTGGATATTGGTTCTTTCAGTTTGGAGACCGGTTAATGTCCACATTTTCCTGAGAACAAAGTTGCGTTTATTCGTTTCTATAAGTCGACAGTTAAAAAGTTCTTGGTATATTACATGTTACATGTATCCACTTCAATCCCTTCCACATGCTCTATTAATTGATAAATTCCCTTAGTTTGATTTGTTATTGTTGTTTCTCCTTGGGTTTAAATATTTGAGAAACACAATTTAAAACAATGCAAATAGTTTTTAAGAGCTGCACGTTAACCGCATTCATTAAGTGATTATATTTATAAACGTTTGTCTTGGAAGTGTAAAGTGAGGAACATATTTTCGTCTTTCATCGTGGAAATAGTGAAAATAGTGATATTCATTCCCTGTTTCTTGAGACTGATAAAGTGTGCAATAACTTTTGTATTAGGGACCATTTGCACATGTAATAGAAAATATGCTTTGCAGTTTTAAACTTAATTAAATTGTTAGATATATATATATATATATATATATATATATATATATATATATATATATATATATATATATATATATATATATATATATATATATATATATATTTTGGTAAGAATAAATATATCTTTTCTAAATCCAAAATCGTTTTAAATATCATTAAATTTCGATTTTTAGATTACCTAATGGTATTAGTAATATGCAGACTGACGTGACATTTTCCCCACAATTCACTGCGCAGTCAAATCGACAAATGTTAGTCAAAATGTAAGTAACACTAGTAAAAATAACATGTTGTAGTAGGTGGGATAAATACATTTTCCCACAATCGGAGCCAATCAGTAAAGACAATGTTGCTCAAGAACTGAATCGTCTTATTTGTGCCAATCAGAATCGCATAAAGTGAAATTTAACATACTGTGTTATCAAAAAATTATGAAACTGCACATACAATATATAAAGTGTATCTACAATGTGATAAAGATGTTATATATATATATATATATATATATATATATATATATATATATATATATATATATATATATATATATATATATATATATATATATATATATATCAAAGATGTAAATTTCGTATGTTAGCTATATCAAAAGATATAACGTATATACTCTTGCTATGGCATACATATTACTCAAATGCTTTAGCTATGTCAAGGATATAACTCGGATATTTAGCTACGACGTCATAACTCGGGTGTTCACCTATGGCCATGAAATAACTCCGGTATTTAGCGGCACATCTCGGGTGTTTAGTTATGACAACGACATAACCTACGTACCTGTGCTATGCAAATTGAAAGCTAATAACTTCGCTATTGTCTTTGAAGAAAAGCTTACCAGTGGTTGTTCCATATTTATATAATCAGGTACATTTTTCCCGATATTCAAATAACTTTAAATATTGGTTTTACACTTCTTGCCGACATTTCTACACAAATATAATTTTGTCAGCCTTAATGGATTCCCAGCATAACGCTGTCAACCTGAGAAGATAATTCGTGATTAAACTGACAAAAACGCTATGGCTCCTGTTACTTGTGTCAATAATAATTATATTCATGGCGGAATATAATTAGCTATAAATTAAATATTTAATTCGTTATGACTTCCCATCTATGTATACCTGAGCCAATCTGTAAAATGGCACCAAAGAGTTTCGGTACATTTTTATTTTCTCTGGACAGACAAGACAGTTCCCATATTTAACAAACAAGCACAGGCAGAATATTACTTTGATTTACACTTTCATTTGATTTACCAATACTATTGGTATATTAAATTGTCATCCTTTCATGGCGCAAAAATACGCATATAGAAACAATCCCGAGACCTTCTGCAATTAATTCTCGATCAATTATCAATTTCCACACATTAATCAGTAGTGACGCATGAAAATAACAATAAAAAGTATTAATTATCTCATTTTTTTTCTAAATGAATTTAATATTTTATACATTTTCATAGCAATTCTTTCTGATTTCTGTTCCCTCTTCCCCCACCATGCATAACAGACAAACTACGCTGAAATGTGGAGTGAGAGAGCAAAGGAATTTGGGTGGATTAAAACCTTGAAATAGAAATGACACCAAGTAACCTACAAGAATATGGTTCGTCGAAAGACGAAATCTGTGAATTTTCCTTGGGATTTATCTAACGTCTTTATAAGTGATACAAAGTTCCCAACTATGTCGACATTATACTGCAAATTTTTTGGTTACGCGGTGCACATAATGTGATGTATTTAATGCTTTGCTGTTCTTATTGTTTCTGAAACATATTATAATGTTCTAAACATTGGTTATTATTAATTAAATATGAAAATATCCAAATGCCTCTTTCTCTCTTTAGATCTCGATCGATCGACCATCGTAGCAAGACACGGGCTAAAAGCTATGAAATGACAAGCGTAGAGGATTTTCATTTTTGTCATCCCACAATGTCTCTGAACTTATGAATAATGGTAAAAGTTAGGTCCAACCGAGCAAAGGCTCTGCGTGTATGTGTGTGTGTGTGTGTGTGTGTGTGAGAGAGAGAGAAAGAGAGAGAGTTTAAAGTCAAACCGACCAGTTAGAGAGAGAGAGAGAGAGAGAGAGAGAGAGAGAGAGAGAGAGAGAGAGAGAGAGAGAGAGAGAGAGAGAGAGAGAGAGAGAGAGAGAGAGAGAGAGAGAGAGAATAGCCATAAAAGGCGTTGAACTCCATTTTGTAGCGGACACATACGAGGATGTGAGAAATTCATTCACTCAGTCAATACACAACTGCCTGTAGTAAATCTTAACTCCGTTCAAAGGGCAAATTTATTCATTTGTATTTGATATAAATAAAATATGTGTACAGTATGTATCATTGATATACAACTTGCTGTATAAATGTTTCATTTAAAAGAAACAAGGCCTGCCTAGTTTTCTTTTAAATGAAACATTTTAACATACATATAATCAAAAAAATGGTACCAAAAACTGACAACGCTCTTAAATACCAAGAGTATTGGATATGACCTCTAAGATTTCTGAGCCTCCACAAAAGTGGAAATGAATATGTATCGCCATCTTCTGTCTCCGCCTTGGTTTACAGTAATAGAATGTGATTAACAATGATGCGACATGATTGCATCTGTTGGAACGAATGCAACGATTGTATGCCTTATACATTAAAACATTTGTCCTGAAATTAATGCATTATCCAGCCCAGTTTCCTTTCCAGGTTGTCAAGAATCATTCCGGAATCTGTGAAATCAGTAGTCTGTCCCACGGATGTAACTTCCATTATAAAATCAACCTTATAATGACACGTGTATGAAACCCCTGTGTCTAATTCAAAAAAGACATCAAGGTGCTAAAATTACATATCAATGATCGAATGTCCAGCCCGTTGTCTTCGCGGTACTTTCAAATTATGAATTTTCTGACAGGAAGTTGGTGTCACAATTACCATGGTACAGAATTAAATTATGTTCAGATTTAATCTAGGTAAGTCAGAAATACTTTACGTAAACGATGTGAGAAAATGTCAAATGTGTTATCCCTTTGCTTCGCTGCAAAGGTTTCACTGCCAACATTTCTGTTTTCGTCGGAATTTTGTCGCAGAGTTTGCTTGATTTATAGTGTATTTGGTTAAGCATTATATGACATATGATATATTCACTAATTATTTTGTCGTCATAAATATTGCAGATTCAGTTTTATAGTCATGTCTAGAAAATAACATAATTCCATCTGTAATCAATACATGGCGCATGCCTCTATATTTGATAAGAGACTGGCTGCTTTTTCATATTTTATACAGTGCAGTAATTGCACAATAAAGTGTTCTGTACAATAAAGTATTATGTGCAATAAAGTATTATGTGCAATAACGTATTCTGTGTAGTAAAGTCATTATTACAAAATGTATTCTGTACAATAATGCATTATGTGCAATTTAAGTCTTTAGTAAAAAAAATGTATTATGTGCAATAGTGTATTATATAAAATAACGTCTTTGGTACTAAAAGATATTCTGTACAATAAATTATTACGTGCAATAAAGTCTTTAGTACAAAAAGGATTCTGCACAATAAAGCATTCTATGCAATAAAGTACTATGTACAATAAAGTATTTTGTGCAATAAAGTATTCTGTACAATAAAGAAATTGTTTAACTGAGCGTCTTGTATCGCTACATTTATGGCTCTTATTGCGAATAAATTATATCCCACTTGCATTACCTTACTAAGGTAAGCCTAGCATACTGTCATGTGTTTCAATGATAGGCGATACAAGTATCTAGGAAAGCGACGTAATTCATGCATTGTGATATAACGTGTTCTAAGTTGTTTCCATCATAGTTTTCTTATCACAGTCACTGTACATTGACTGAAATATTTTGAAACTGTTGGAATAAAATGATATATATGATTTCAACTGAAGAGCAAAGGAGGACAGATTCACTTTCCCACTGGCTTTACTGGGCAAGATTCATCCAATAAAATGATTTATATGACTGCTTTTATTTGTTATTTTGCGATTTTAGGTGGATATTTATCAGACCTGGTAAAATATTCAAATGAATAAGAAAGAAAGCAATATTTTGCAATTCGAAAGTAACCATCACTCTTTTCTACAAGATATAATCAAACTACATTCTCAAATTAGAACTTACTTTCGTAGTAATTTAATGGCGTGAGGAAGTATCTTCTGTTAAAAAAATAACTTGAATCTCTTGATTCTGATTGCTAGTCTTTTTGCTATTCAAACCATTAATCAATTAAAGGATTACTTAATTCATCAAGAAATGGATGACCCCATTAAATAAAGGGATGGATTATCATATTAAATCAAGGAGGCGATTACCCCAATAAATCATGGATTGGATTGCACCATTAAATCAAGGGATGGATTACCATATTAAATCAAGTGATTACCCTATTAATCATGGAATGTATGGCCCCATTAAATCAAGGGATGGATTATCATATTAAATCAAGAAGGTGATTACCCCATTAAATCATGGAATGGATTACCGCAATAAATTAAGGGATAGATTACCATATTAAATAAATGAGGTGATTACCTTATTAAATCATAGAATGGATGACCCCATTAAGTCAAGATTGGATTAATATATGTAATATTCAGCTGCCAAAATTCTGAGAATATAAGAACTAATCAAGAAACCAAGACAATCACGATGCATGATCAAAGCAATGTAGGAAATTGAATAAAAAAAGCTTTAATCGATTAATTTAGCTTTCACGCATGATAACGCTGGACACGCTATCTCCTCGCAGAACAAACAGTGATGTAATGGTGACGGCATTTATGGACATTTGATGTACCAGATGTAGACGGTATTTATGGGTGTCTGATATATCGGATGTAAACATTATTTATGGACGTTTGATGCACCAGAACACTACATAATTATTGGCTGAATGAAAGGATAGATTTCGTCCTCAAACTACCATCATCAGTTTACTCTTTACTTTTTTGCATCCAGATGTCATCTTTACTTTGCTGTTAGACGTTTATCATCAAAATAACGTCTTTAGTTTGCTGTTACAAGGTTTTCATCAATCTAGCGTATTAAGTTTGCTGTTACATGGTTTCCATCAAGCTATCGTATTCAGTGTGCTGTTACATGGTTTTTATCAAGCCAGCGTATTCAGTTTGTTGTTACACGGTTTCCATCAAGCTTTTCTACATAGCTGCGGTGTGGTGTGGTGGTGTTTACAATTTTAACGTAGCTTTTAAAAAAATTTCAGTCATATCGCTACGATGTCTGCAGTGTGGAAGTTTATAGTGATGTTTATCACTGGGGCATCATGCCACAGACATGTAGCATGATGTCCCACCTAGTCACATTATCCTGACACCAGGCTGATCAGTCCTAACACTAACCTCTTAATGCTGAGCGTCAAGCAGGGCAGCTGTTAGTACAATTTTTTTAAGTCTTTGGTATGACTCGACCGGGGATCGAACCCACGACCTCCCGCATCCGAGGCGGAAGCTCTAACCACTACATAGCTGCCGTCTTCAGCTTGCTATTAAACAATTCGAAATTAACCGTCTGTCATGCATATTTTCATACAAGACGCTCTCTGCTTGAAATCATTTACTTATTTTTGCAATGTGATATTACTCTATAGTCTTAAATCAAGTAACAGAAAAAGCAAAAGCTAGCAAGGTTAGTAAAATGGAACAATTAAATCCTTTCCATAGAATAAAAAGTGTACATTTGAGAGGAACTTAAAGTGGTGTGAGTTAAATTCAAAATAATAATAAATATTCTATCACATGTGCAAACCTATCAGTGTTCCGAATAAATTCCACTAATGAATGCGCTGATGTACCAGTGGCCTTGAATGAACTTATGTGCCAACAGTCTCGATTTATAATAATCTTATAATCCAAATACTCTGGAATGAATTCATTAAAATCTCAAAATAATTAAGTCCAAAATGTCAGTGAGCATTTTGTAATTAAAAAAATTAAATAAATTATTCCTCTCAAATTATATCTGAACATAAATCAAATTGATTCGACAAAGACTGATATGAAACAGGGAATACATTTGATTATCAGAACCTTATACAAAAATCTAAGACACAATAAAATACCAGAATGAGCGTTACAAAATCACTTACAGAACTTTCTAAGGGTTAAAGACCACGTCAACATGTTTGTAGATAATTTTAATGTATGACCCATTGATATCGACAAACGATAATATAAATGACCACTTATTTGCACGATGACCATGGATAAAAATATAAGCAAACAATATTGATATGCATAAAACCATCTTACATATAAAAGAAACAGTTCTACAATAAAGCTTTCTTTTACATATTATTTAAACCTTAAAGTAAACCAATAATAACTAAAATTACTTAGGAAGATGTCTTAAAATGACATCAATATACATAAAGCAATATAGTACTTCCATACACGTAAAAGTACATCTGCCATCAAATTATCTTTCTACAATTGCACATCAGACGGAGCTTTCGAAACTGGCATATATTTGTATAGCGCATTGAAATAAATAAAAGATGTATATTAATGTACCCGAAAGTGGATAGAGGAGAGAATCATTAAAAGTCGGATATATTTAATGGAGCTGTTTTTATTCTTTTCGTAGAAGAGTATTTGCTTTCTTGGACTATCTTTTTCTTGCTTACACAAAATGATGTAACTAGGGGCCTATTTTTATTCTTTAGGTAGACGAGTACTTGCTTTCTGGGACTGTCTTTCTCGTGCTTACACAAAAAGATGCACCTATGGGGCTACTTTTGTTCTTTACGTACAAGAGTACTTGCTTTCTGGGACTGTCTTTCTCGTGCTTACACAAAAAGATGCACCTATGGGGCTATTTTTGTTCTTTTCGTTTAAGATTATTTGCTTTCTGGGACTATCTTTCTAGTGCTTGCACAAAAAGAAGCAACCGGAAGGGGGTATTTTTATTCTTTACGTAGAAGAGTTCTTGCTTTCTGGGACTATCCTTCTCATGCTTACTTAAAAAGATGCAACATAATACATGTTTATTGTAGTCATTATACACCTTGTAAATTACACAATGCAGGCTATACACACTGAATGGTTCGTGTCTCAGCTTCTCGAGCAACCTGAACTACCTTAGCCTTTTCACTGAAGGTGAACAATGACGAATTCTCTGTACTGCCTCTTGCCACCAGAGGAGTTTGGTGCATTTTGACAATAAAACTATTTCTAGAATCGGAAGTGGTAGACATGAATGCAATTTATTCTTATTATTGGATCCCCCGTTAAAATGATGGCCTTGAAAACAGCTGGTTTACTAATTTTTTTTAAACTTCTATTGCAAATTTATGTAAACAACAATGCGTACAGGCATAACTGTGCTTCCGCATCAGCAAAGAATGAGCTCGAAATTTCATAAGGCCGCTAAAAAATGGACAAAACTTAAACATTTCATGTGCACTGAGATGACACGGTTTAATGGCAAAAGATGATATTGAAGTTTCACACTTATTGCAGTTTACAGGTTTTTCTTTTACGTATACAACTCTTTAAAAACGTGCATTATTCTTAATAACATGTATTATTCGGCCAACATATACTGGCAGAATAATTTATAATTTTATGATATAATTTAACATCCCTTCATTGGAAACAATTCTAATATGTTCGGCTCAATGCGGCAAAATAAGTAGTAAGCAATCCACCTCAGGAATATGTACAACTCAATACAATAGAAGGTAACTGAGTTCTTAAATTACGCTGATGAAATACAAGGCCCTGTGAGAAAATATCCATCATGCGTATACCTAAGTAGCAAATGTACATCATGAGTATCCTCAGTTGGAGAAATAAAAATATTATTATGCCTCAAGAGAAATTGTCCAACATGAGTATGCGTCAGTACAAATATTAGTATGCCTCTGTAGAAATTATCCAACATGAGTATGCGTCAGTACAAATATTAGTATGCCTCAATAGAAATTGTCCAACATGAGTATGCCACAATACAAATATTAGTATGCCTCTGTAGAAATTATCCAACATGAGTATGCGTCAGTACAAATATTAGCATGCCTCAATAGAAATTGTCCAACATGAGTATGCGTCAGTACAAATATTAGTATGCCTCAGTAGAAATTGTCCAACATGAGTATGCGTCAGTACCAATATTAGTATGCCCCTGTAGAAATTATCCAACATGAGTATGCGTCAGTACAAATATTAGTATGCCTCAATAGAAATTGTCCAAAATGAGTATGCGTCAGTACAAATATTAGTATTCCTCAGAAGAAATTGTCCTACATGAGTATGCGTCAGTACCAATATTAGTATGCCTCTGTAGATATTGTCCAACATGAGTATGCCACAATACAAATATTAGTATGCCTTAATAGAAATTGTGCAACATGAGTATGCGTCAGTACAAATATTAGCATGCCTCAATAGAAATTGTCCAACATGAGTATGCGTCAGTACAAATATTAGTATGCCTCAATAGAAATTGTCCAACATGAGTATGAGTCAGTACCAATATTAGTATGCCTCAATAGAAATTGTCCAACATGAGTATGCGTCAGTACAAATATTAGCATGCCTCAATAGAAATTGTCCAACATGAGTATGCGTCAGTACAAATATTAGTATGCCTCAATAGAAATTGTCCAACATGAGTATGAGTCAGTACCAATATTAGTATGCCTCAATAGAAATTGTCCAACATGAGTATGCGTCAGTACAAATATTAGCATGCCTCAATAGAAATTGTCCAACATGAGTATGTGTCAGTACAAATATTAGTATGCCTCTGTAGAAATTGTCCACTATGAGTATGCGTCAGTACATATATTAGTATGCCTCAATAGAAATTGTCCAACATGAGTATGCGTCACTACAAATATTAGTATGCTCAGTAGAAATTGTCCAACATGAGTATGCGTCAGTACCAATATTAGTATGCCTCAATAGAAGTTGTCCAACATGAGTATGCGTCAGTACAAATATTAGTATGCCTCAATAGAATTTGTCCAACATGAGTATGCGTCAGTACAAATATTAGTATGCCTCAATAGAAATTGTCCAACATGAGTATGCGTCAGTAGCAATATTAGTATGCCTCAATAGAAATTGTCCACCATGAGTATGCGTCAGTACAAATATTAGTATGCCTTAATAGAAATTGTCCAACATGAGTATGCGTCAGTACAAATATTAGTATGCCTCAATAGAAATTGTCCAACATGAGTATGTGTCAGTACAAATATTAGCATGCCTCAATAGAAATTGTCCAACATGAGTATGCGTCAGTACAAATATTAGCATGCCTCAATAGAAGTTGTCCAAAATGAGTATGCATCAGTACGAGTAATAGTATGCCTCAATAGATATTGTCCAACATGAGTATGCGTCAGTACCAATATTAGTATGCCTCAATAGAAATTGTCCAACATGAGTATGCGTCAGTAAAAATATTAGTATGACTCAATAGAAATTGTCCAACATGAGTATGCGTCAGTAAAAATATTAGTATGCCTCTGTAGAAATTGTCCTACATGAGTATGCGTCAGTACCAATATTAGTATGTCTCAATAGAAATTGTCCAACATGAGTATGCGTCAGTACAAATATTAGTATGCCTCAATAGAAATTGTCCAACATGAGTATGCGTCAGTACCAATATTAGTATGCCTCAATAGAAATTGTCCAACATGAGTATGCGTCAGTACAAATATTAGTGTGCCTCAATAGAAATTGTCCAACATGAGTATGTGTCAGTACAAATATTAGTATGCCTCTGTAGAAATTTTCCAACATGAGTTTGCGTCAGTACCAATATTAGTATGCCTCAATAGAAATTGTCCAACATGAGTATGCGTCAGTACAAATATTAGTATGCCTCAAAAGAAATTGTCCAACATGAGTATGCGTCAGTACAAATATTAGTATGCCTCTGTAGAAATTGTCCAACATGAGTATGCGTCAGTACCAATATTAGTATGCCTCAATAGAAATTGTCCAACATGAGTATGCGTCAGTACAAATATTAGTATACCTCAATAGAAATTGTCCAACATGAGATGAGTATGTGTCAGTACAAATATTAGTATGCCTCTGTAGAAATTGTCCAACATGAGTATGCGTCAGTACCAATATTAGTATGCCTCAATAGAAATTGTCCAACATGAGTATGCGTCAGTACAAATATTAGTATGCCTCTGTAGAAATTGTCCAACATGAGTATGCGTCAGTACAAATATTAGTATGCCTCTGTAGAAATTGTCCAACATGAGTATATGTCAGTACAAATATTAGCATGCCTCAATAGAAATTGTCCAACATGAGTATGCGTCAGTACAAATATTAGTATGCCTCTGTAGAAATTGTCAAACATGAGTATGAGTCAGTACAAATATTAGTATGCCTCAATAGAAATTATCCAACATGAGTATGCGTTATTACAAATATTAGTATACCTCAATAGAAATTGTCCAACATGAGTATGCGTCAGTAGCAATATTAGTATGCCTCAATAGAA